TCAAGGTTCTTATTGGAACCTGTTTTGGGGTAGTCTGGTTCTTCAGGAATCGAACTATTTTTTCAAGCCTCGAAGCCAGAACAGGAGGAGATTTTTTTTATTCTGGTGTAATCTCTCTTGGAGTGAGTGGCATAAAAATCCTCTCCAAGCGATTAAGCTTATGTAATCCTTCAAGATCTTGTCTACTCTAGCTTATTGCTAGAGTAGTTGTGTTTTATTTAAAATGTTGCAGTTAAAAAAAAAAAAAAGAGACACTGACAATAAGTTATATCAAATTGGGTTTAGACAATTAGAAATTAAATCGCTTTAGTTGTACATTCGAGAAAAGTGTTATTAAATTTCTGTGCATTGTGGTCAGCAGAAGGGACATGAACTTTATATATGGGCTTAAGTCGGATTCCTAATTTGGTCTTTGATTCAAGTTTTTTACTTTTTAGTTTTAAACTTTAACAATGAAATCCTTGAAAAGTTTGCTCTTTTGCTTATTTTGACATAATTATAGAAGTTAATACAATAAAACCAAGGTGAAAAAGGGTCATAAGTCTTTTTAACCCTTTCTACACAATACTAATCGACTACAGTTATATGCCAATGGACTCAAACATTAACAAACAGCTTAATTTAGAACAATATTAATAGATTAAACTTAATAATGTGGCTAACACAAAGAGGGTAGCCTTTCCTCGACATCTTCCCAAGACACCTTTACCAAAAGAGAAAATAAAAACTAGAAGCTGAATGTTCCGAAAATCATGTTAAAAGAATACATCCTATACTTACTGAAACTGAACTAATATTCATCCTAAGAAGGGCCAGGCAAAAAAAGTTCTATTAAACTCCATTGACCTTTATATGCCACTTTCAGGTGTATAAATATATATCTAGACTCTAGTTGACTTTAAAAAATCAAAAGAGAGGTGTTATGATCAAACTTCACCTTTCACCACACAATATGAACCAATTGCAAACGATTCACTTTTCGTCTTTTCAATTTTCCCAACACCACGAAGACGACGGCCGAGGTGGCATAATTGCAACAGCTCCACCACCGCCGCACCGATCTCCTCCTCCCCTTTGAGCCTCAAATCAACACTAATCTTTTTGGCTTTTTTTCTCACCACCTCCCCTAACTTACTCACCACCACATGCCGCACAACCCCCGCCATCTTCTCCCGCTCGAGTCGCCCGTTTCCGTCCCTCACCACTTCAACTCCAACCCCAACCTCCGCCACCAACCGAGCGTTGACCGGCTGGTCAAGGTGCATTGGCATGGCTATTATTGGAACACCAAATTTCATAGCTTCCATTGTCGAACTCCATCCACAATGACTCACAAATCCACCAATATTTTTGTGGCATAATATTTTTCCTTGTGGCGCCCACCCTTCCATCACTAAACCCCTATCCTTCACCCTTTCAAGAAACCCTAATGGCAAAGCTTCTGAAAGGCTAAGCTTTTTTTCCACTTTCGGGAACCTTAAAACCCAAATGAAATTCACATTGCTCATTTCTAACCCGTATGCAATTTCTTTCAAATCATCTTCAGAAAGAAAATATTCGCTCCCAAAAGAAACAAAAACAGTAGATCCAATGGCTTTTGTGTCAAGCCACTGCAACACACTATTTTTATTTTCCTTCACGTTCACAGAAGGAGATGGCTCAACCACAAGTGGACCTACTGGGACAATCTTTTTATCAGTAAGAAGAGACAGGTAGTCACTGTATTTACCTTCAATCTCTTTGAAAGATTTAACAAGCACGATACTTGAAGATCGACCAACACACTCCATAACACGATCTTTATCTTTACGATTATTTGCTGAGCTTTCAAGAATCTCCGACACGTGAGAATACTCATTTTTTCGAAAATAGATATCCGAGAATGGAAATGGAATACCACTGGAGCTCTTCAAGTAAAGATGAAACATGGTGGAAGCCATGGTGACACTTGTGGTGATGAACACCACAGACGGGATTGAAAGGGCGGAAGCCGCCACCGGAGCCCAATGTTGAATAAGATCGTAAATGAGCAAATCGGGTTGTAGGGTTTTCAAGATACCTGAAAACTCGTCACTTGCCATGTCGAAAGCTTTCTTGAGAACAGGCATAAGATGCGGTGGGAGGCCATTGGTGGTGTGAAGATCTGATGGAAGCTCGGGTAGCTCCGGAAGGTGAAGCTTAATTTGATGAATTGCAGGTGATTTCTTGATAGACTTGAGATTTGCAGGAGTCGAACAGAGGTAGATGTCAAAGAGGTTGGTGTTGCTTAGTTTTTTGGCTAGTTCTAGGAAAGGAGAAATGTGACCATGGCCTAACCATGGGAACATCAAAACGGTTTGCTTTCGTCCATATCTGTTCATCGTCATTGGTGTGATTGAGATGAAATGCTTCTGATATCGTTAGAGATTGCCTGTGGAGAAGCCGGTGCGTTAATTATATAGACAAAGTTATGATGGAAACTACTTAAAATACGTACGGGGAAAATTTGCATGCAATCTTTCTATTTTACGTGCATGATTCAGCTAGCTTTGGGTGTATCTTTTTAAAACATAAAAGATATTCATTGATTGGTTATGCTTTCGGGTGTATCTTTCGATTTTCGTGGTTATGCTTGGAACGTTTGATCCTATATATGATCATGGGTTCAGTGTGTTAATTTCATCTATTGCTTATTTCCTTGTTTATGTTTCCTTTTGTCGGGACAAATTGGACCAAAATTGAGAGTGTTAGTTGAACACCAAACAAAGCATCTCCAAGGGTAAATTCGTCAATTTTGAGTAAAAGATGATTACGTCGTTAAAGACTTTAATTCCCCAATCGGATTACTTATCGAGTTGTGTCAATTTTACAGAGTATTTAAGAACCAATTTTATACTTTGATATACTTTGACATTCACATAGTATACTTATATAATATACAAATAAAGAATTAAGAACCAATTTTACAGAGTATTTAATGGCGTATTTATTAAAATCGATTATTAGTTTGTTTTAGTAAAATTGATTATTTTTAAATAAGTAATAGAATCTATATCTTTTTAATTAAGTCCATAATTTGATGTTTATCACCCAAAAAGGTTATAAATATTGATTAATAAAAAAAAAGACTTGCGAAATCTAAAATCTATTCTTACTATGGGCTAAGATAATAACGATTTGATTAGTTATGGAAGATATAACTGTTTCAAAAATAAAAGTTTTCGTTATTAAATAGTGAAATATTTAATTTTACCAAATTTGTGCAACGTAAATTAGTCTTTGATTTTCCTTGAAAACTACTCAATATTTTGATGTGGATAATTTATTCTTGATATTGATATAGAGTAATTTATTTTGGAGGTTGTCTGCGGAGAAAATGTTGCATTATATATTTGCTATCATGGAAATTGCGCTTAAAATACATACCCGGAAATCGGTTTAAAAAAAAAAAATACATGCAAACCTTATTTACGTGCATGATTCACTTGTTCACTTGATAATATATAATATTTAGTTTAAATTTTTATTTTTACTATGGTTTCGAAATTGCCATATGCATGCTAATTTAATATTTAACGTTTGAGAAGAACTTGGTTTATTAAATTAGGCTTAATTGTTTGGAAAATTCTAAATGTTTGTTTTCCGTTAGATAATTTTTTTTTTCTTTTGATGTCATTACAAAAAATATAGACAATTGTATTTCAAAAAAAATATAATAAAACAAAAATTATAGACAATTGTATTTTAAAAAAATATAATAAAACGAATTATATAGTTATTTTAGATTTAATCCATAATTTGATATGTTTATCATCCAAATAGGTTATAAATCTTGATTAATAAAAAAGACAACTGCTTAAAGCTCAAAAATCAAAAATATTATGGTCTAGGATAAGAACGGTTATATAGAGGTTTGGTTAAATTATGAAAATAGCAACTGTTTTACAAACTCCATGTATCTTTATTAATGAAATATTTATTTTTAGAAAATATATGCACTATAAATCAGTCTTTGATTTTCCTTGAAAACTACTTAACATTTCCGATTTGTTTGTAAAAACGTTTGGGCTTTGTTTGCAAAAAAGGGGTTGTGGCCCGTTTCCGATTAATTTGAAGTTACATTAATGGTCCTTACAACTTTACATTTTTAGCCCCTATATTTACATTGGCATGTTACATATTATTATTATTATTATTATTATTATTATTATTATATATATATATATATATATATATATATATATATATATATATATATATATAGAGAGAGAGAGAGCTAGGTTCATTTGTTTAAAGTATTTATTATGTTATTGTATGTATAAATGTGGGCCAATCAAAATTAAATAAAATTAAATAAATAAAGAAGGGTAATTTAGTAATATGATTAATAACTTCCAAAAATAACCCCTGTAATCATGGTATTATATTCTAGATTCCCTCTTTATCTAATTGACTTTTTCTAACCCTAAATTTATCCCCCTTCATAAATCGCCTCACCCTTACCATCGGCCTCACACCCAAGCGCCTGTCAATTATGAATTTGTGATCAGACATTATCGAGGTGATTTTAACAGAGACACAGAGCATCCAGTTAATGATTTATTAAAGCAAAAAAGCATCAGCAATGAAAGCGCCAAGAAGACGAAGAAGCCTCGTCGTTCCAGTCCACGCTCTGATGGTGCTCATTCAAAATCATCGAGGTTCAATTCTCTTATCATAAAATCGAAACTGAAACTGGATTTTGTTTGATTACTTGAAGACGAAATTGGATTCGTCCACAAAATCAGTTTTGACTACAGTTTGAGGTCGAATTGACCTATTATTGTTCACATCAGGAATCGACTTTGGTTAAGCCGACTGATTAATGGAGTCTAAATCTTCGATTGATTGTTCATGTTTGAGTCGAATGGTATGATTGATATAGATTTCCATTTAAGAAATCGAAATTGTTTGTTTGATTGGAGTCAAACTCATTGAAGTCGACTAATGTTAATTTTCGATTTGAGTCAAGAAATCGATTTATGTTGAATTGGGTTGAAGAGTCGAATTTACTGATTATTGGGGTCGAAATCATTTTCAAGTCTGAATCCAAAGTATTTCGATTTCGTTTTATATGGAGTATTGGGATTGAACGCATTTGATTGGCATCGAATACGCCTGATGATACTTCTTTAATTTTCATTTCGTTGTGTATAAAGGCAAGCAGCAACAACGCATGTTCAGGGAGATGCGAAGGAGGCTGCTGCCCTCCTGACCACCGAATAACTCCACCACCGGTGGAGGTTTTCTTAACCGAAGCAGAAGAAGAGCGAAGGAGGGGAGAAACAAATTGTGTACTGATTTTGGAATATACAATTGGAGGATCTGCAGTTGCTCGTGGTATTTCTCGTAATCTAGTATGTATATGAAAGTAATAGGAAATGATGCTAATTGGTAATTTGTTCTAATTGTCTAATTTTTACAGGAAATTGAAAGTTGTTTTGATGCACATCAAGCGCTCGCTAAAATGCTTCAACTGAATGGTATTTCTTCGTTTATAGTATTCTATCAGAAAAGAATGTTTTTTATGATAAGCATGAACATATTCTGTTAGAATGACCCGAATTAATATAATTATTGGTGAAGGAATTCCAATTCCATCAGAATGGAATCACGAATTCCAACTATGTTGTAATGGAATATGAATATTTTCTCACTAATTTATTCATTGGATTTGTTTCCACAAAAGCTGATGCTTGAAGAACGGACCACGAAATTTGAACGACGCCTCTTAGCAACATTATTCTTTTAGAATGAATTAGTGTATTTGTTAGATTTTGATGTTTTTTTCCCGATTTGAAAGTTTTTTAGTTTTATTCTTTAACAATAAATGTAATTATTAGCAATTGTTACATGTATTCTTTAAGAATTAATATAATTTTTGTTTTAATTCTTCAATTGCTGGTTCGAGAATTTGTTATTCTACAAGAAAAATATGTTCAAGAATATTTTTATTATTTTATGGTTCAAGAATTTTTTTATTTTTGAATATATTCAAACATATTTTGTCAGCATGTCCGAATTAAAAACCTAATAATTCGTAAAATCAAATTTTTAAAATTAGTAGAATCTATGATCCCTTAAAATATGCAAACTTCCTTTATTAAATCTATGTTAATTGACTAAAATACCCTTCTAGTTAAATTAGATGGTATTTTTCGATTATTTTTAATTCAATAATATGTATTAATCACTTTCTTAAAATAAGTAAAATGATTGGCCCATATTTATGCATACAATAACACAATAATTAGTTTGAATAGAATAACCTAGATGGATCATTTATGAAGTTATATATATATATATATATATATATATATATATATATATATATAACTTCATAAATGATCCATGTAGTTTTCCAAAATATGAGATATAATTCATAACTTTAAAAAACCTGATAAAAGGTCCATGTGGTTTTCAATTTCTATCGTAGTTGTTCATCCGCCCATCTAAAAAGATGTATTTACCCTTTTAAATATATTTTTGATTTCTTTATTTAAATAAATAAAAACCACCCCTTCTTCTTCTCCAAAACCTCCCGTCTCTTCTTCCTCATCGGAGCTTTATGCTCTGAGCAAAACAGCAACCAGAAATTGATTCAAACGATTTTGAAAATGCTTCGAACGATAACTACATTCTGGAACAGGTATGGAAACGACTAACGTAGGTAGAAGATCATGTGGCCATTTTGTCTTCTACAAGCTAAGGTTAACCGTAGAACCTCAATTCCTACCATTTTTACCAAGCCTCTACGCCTGGAAAAGAGTCGAAAGTAGCAATTAAGATAGCGATTCGATATTTCAACATCAAAACCAATCAGATCTCGATTTTATATCTTCAAAGACTACACATTTTCTTTCTGAAATATTAGCAATAAATATACTAAAGAAGTTTGATTTGGTTGTTTATCATTTTTCATCTCTTAGGCATTTCGCCAAACAGTTCTGGGCTAACCCATATCTTGTCACTCACACCTGGTTTATCTTTATTATATGAAGAGCTTGACATGCTCAAGAAACTAAAACGTCAAGTCTTTGTGATTCATATGTTTGTGGAACTTGGGATTCGTCTCTTTCAAACAGCCATTAATTGCACAATGATTACTTCATAAAACGTATGATTGGAGTCAAAAGCTACTTCCATAAGCAATTGCGGTATGCTCACGGACGTCGTCGGAATCTTGTAGAAAGTTCAGAGAATCGGATGAGGGTTGGTGTTTCTGGTCGATCTTTTTGTTTGAGGAAGTGATGAGAAAAATGAACCGACTCTTTTATTATATTTCATTCAATAACTCTTATGATGAATTGATCCAACAAATACCTAACAAGGTTACAAGAGCGTATACAAAAACAAATAATTATGTAGAAAAAGAACATGTATGAGGTGGGGAGGGTGAGGTTAATTGTTTCTTTTTTTTTAAATGGTTTTACTTAAAGAAAAATGTAAAAGAAACTAAAAATGGTATAAAAGTCTTTTTATGTCGGTGATAGACTAACCACGATAGAAATTGAAAACCATAGAGACCTTCTCCGATGATTTTTAGAGTTAGGTACTATATCCTAAGTTTTGAAAAACCATAGAGACCATTTATGAAGTTTTATCTTATATTTATCATATTATATATTATATATTACATATTACATATTTATCATTTATAACTTTTACTTTTATTTCCATCCAATATGTATATGAAATAATTTTATTATAAATGTAGAGTAAATTACACGAATCGTCCCTCATGCAGGTGCTAAAATGCACGTTCAGTCCCTATTTTCAAAAATTAATTCGGACCATCCCTCGTTATTTTAATATTTGCACGTTTCATCCTTTCGGACATAAAAAGACCATTTTGCCCTTATTTATTTACTTTTTAATTTTCTTTTATTTATTTATTATTTTTAGATTAAAAAGAAAAGAAAAAAAAAACGATAAATATCAATGCTCCAACCCTTCGTCCATCCGTTCACCCACTTCCCTTTCCTAGCTTCGTCTTTTTTTTTTCTATCACCATTGTAGCTCGATTTTCAGACACCACCACCGACATCCCCTTTAACCTCCGTCGGCCACCACCAGGCGTGTAGATGGGAGCTACCTTGCTTATCTTTACATTTTCCCTACTTTCCCTCTTTCTAAAACTACCGTTTTCTCTCAAAAAAACCATCAGGTGAACACATCCATTATTTTCGGCCACCCCAACACCTCCATTGTTTCCGGTCACTCCAATACCTCCACCAGGGCCAAAACTTCCATCGCCATCCTAACCATCACCTACCACTTCGTACCAACTTTTTCCACTAAAACCCAAATCAATAAACACAAATCAAAGCAAATCAAGAAAACCTTTCGGAAGAAATAGTTTGCAGAGAAAAGTCTGACCGCCTCTATCTCCATTCGAAACCCTAAATCTGAGGTATTGGTCATATTAATCTGATAGCGCGGTAGATCTAAGTGTAAGAGACAGGGGAGGGGGAGAAATTCGGTTACACGTCGTCATCTCCGTCGATTCGGTTTTCAATCGGCCATCTTCCTCACTCAAACCTCAAAGAATGATGATAACAGGAAGAGAGGGGATCGTCAAAGATTTTGGTGATTTCTTTAGGGTTATTGGGGGTCGGGGCTTGGATTTCTGCACGTGAAGAGAAGGGGAAGAGTTTCCAGGAGTGGTCTTGTCCGGTGGCCGGATTTTAACTTGAAGGGTGTGCTCAGGTGGTGGTTGTCCGTAAGTGGTGTTGGGTGGTTCTTCAACAGTTAAGAGAAAAGGGAGGAAGATTGGTGAAAATGAACAATTGAGTGGGTGGGGTGGGGATGCTGGGTTATGAACATGGGGCCCTATTTTTTTCTTTTATTTTTGAATTAATAATAACAATAATAAATTTAAATTAATTGGAAAAGAAATACAAAAAGGGTATAATAGTCATTTTATGTCTCGTAAGGGATAATGCGTGCAAATTTAGTCTAACGAGGGATGAAGCGTGCAACTTTTAACCAAACGAGGGACGGTCCGAGTTAATTTTTGAAAATAGGGACTGAACATGCATTTTGCCACTTGCACCAGGGACGATTCGTGTAATTTACTCATAAATGTATTACTAGTGTTTAGAGTAAATTACACGAATCGTCCCTGGTGTAGGTGTCAAAAGACAAGTTCAGTCCCTATTTTCAAATATTAATTCGAACAGTCCCTCATTAGTTTAAAACTTGTACGCTTCATCCTCTAAACATAAAAAGACCATTTTTCCCTTATTTATTTATTTTTATTTATTTGTTATTTATTAATTATTGATTGATTGTTTATTATCAAAAATAATTATTATTGCCTTTTAAAAAAGAAATGGGCCCTAAGCACATTGATAACTCGTCCCCCCTCCTTTCTTCTTCGGTACATCTCTTATCCACCATCACCATCCCATCGGTGACCCCTACGAAATCTCCAACCGACTCTAATACTCCGATATCAAGTCAACCCAACTAAAACCACCACCGATCACCTCCCAAAAAACCATTTGCTCTCTATGCTTTTCATATCATAACTCTAACAGTTGCTACCCACCGACAGAGCACATTTCGTTGGGATTCCAGTCAGGGTGTTGCAGATCCAAAAAGCGACAAGGCATAGTACTTGGGGGTGTAGGGGTGAGCACTGGAACAGGGTACCCGCTTTCGGAACCGAAACCGCCAGTTCCAGAACCGGATATGCCTTAAGCGGTTTCGGTTCCTAAAGTTTTGGAATCGCTCTATGCGGTTCCGATTCTGGTTCTTATTTTTCCAGAACCGCTACCCGTTGGGTACCCACCGGAACCAGTAAAATCTTCGATTTTTCGGTTCGGTTACGATTCATGTTTTATGCTACGGACGGTTAGCCGAAAAACCGAAATTTTATTTTCTATTTTTCAAAATATTGTCTATGTTTACTCGTTTAAGTTAATATCAAATTATTTCTTAGAAATTTTTAGTTACAATTAATAATCGTCATATTATTTACATTTCTCATTGTAAACCAATAATTGTCTATCGCTAACATTTGTTATTACATATGTTGATATAGATTAAAATTGTCATTTACGAGTAGATATTATTTTCCATACTCCATAAATATTTGATACATCATCCTAATTTCATTATTAATATAAGCAACAATATAATTAAACAAATTATATGGATTATTCAGTGTCATTCATTCTTTTTTTAGGAAACTTGTAATCTTAACATATTTTTATTATAATAAGATGATATTGCTCCCTTGCGGCTTTGAACAAATCGAAGTCATTCGCACCACTTTGCTTTTGCGAAAAAAGTCTGATGAAGATCGCATTAAACTTGGTGCACGTATGACTTGTTGGAGTTTACTTGCTACTAAGTATATCGATATTGCGATATGGAGGTTTCTTCATAAGCGTGTGAAATTTTCCAAGCACAGCTTCTCAAACATGTTTTAATTTCTTACTCAAACATGTTTATTAAATGTCAAGTTGATTTCAGGAATGGATATTGTATCAATTTTTTACACCTCTAGTTGTAGTTGAGTTCATCCTAAACAGGCTCTCACAAATCACATCAACATTTATATAACCACCAAAGACACAAATATCTGTTAAAAGCGGGATAATTAAAATTTTAAAACAACAAACTATGTTTTATATTACCAAAACGCCATCCTCATGCAACACTAGATTAAAAGAAATACAAATCTTAATCCAGATTTCAATTTCTACCATAAAAAATATCCAATATCCTGGTACAAAATCAAAATATGTAGAGAACAATTTCAGTCTTACAAAAACAAAAATCTCAATCAACCAAAAGCAGTTAACAACTTAATCAAGGTTTCTTCGACTTGCCACTAGTTGCCAATTGAGATTCAGCCTGCAAATATAACAAACTACAAATTAGCACATACTATCTTATTTATCAAAAAGATTTATAAAACTCCACGTAGATAAAAATTTAAACATTACCTCCTTTTTCACAGGTTCTTCCTTCTCAGATAAAGTCAATTCAATGTGGCAAGGTGATGACATATAAGCTACAAACATAAAAAAATCCCAACAATCAATTTGAGTTTTTATATAAAATAAAAAAAAGTAAAAAATAAAAAAAAATTACGGTTGATTCTCCCATGGGCACGGTAAGTTCTCCTTCTTTGTTTTTGAGCTTGGTTCACTTGAATATGGGAAATGAAAAGGGCATCCACATCTAACCCTTTCACCTACAAGGTCAAGGTTTTGTTATTTTTATTTTTTTAAGAAATCACTTAATGAAAGAATAAAAAAGGAAGCAATTACATACCTCAGCATTGCTTTCAGCATTCTTAAGCAAATCCAAAATGAACTTTGCTGACTTGGCAGGCCACCTTCCTTGACCATTGGAATGTCTGTTTTTTGCCTGAGCAGTACGACCAACACCCCTACAAAATCGGGTGAAGGGAATAGCTTGTTTATGGATCAGGACATCTTCCAAATACCTCTTAGCCTTTATTAAAGGCATTTTCCTCAGTGCATGTGCTGTTTCTCTGGTATTCTGGGAAATTAAAGAATAACATTACATGAGATTGTGAGTTTGATGTACATGAAATGAAGATTTAAGAGATTTGAATAGAAACATATGTATCATCCATGACAATAGAATAAGGTACCTTGAAGTGACATCTGAGGTCTGAACCCCTAGCCTTGCAGGCTGCAATGATCAAATCCATCAAAATGATTACAGAAAAAAGGATAATCATTGTTCTACTAACATAATTCACAACCCAATATGTGAACTTTTTGTGTTACAAAAAAAAAATTAAGTTGTTTATGAAAAAAGACTATAGAGAAGGAATCAGTTTATCACTAGCGCTAATGTGCAAGGGGTAGATAAAAAATCTTCATTTTCTCGTTGGCTAAAGATTATATTTCATAATTACAACTACTAAATATCTTCAAAGTTTTCAAAATCAGATAACTCTCAATATAATCCTTGCTACAACAAAGGGATTTTACAAGGTATTCTCATAAACTATGATTCTTTATAGATAATACACATTTATGTATTACGCAATACCCTCAAATGATAGTGTCAATACTTATAAAGAAGCTTAGTCATCTTTTCAGATTTAAAACCGTGTGCTTACATTCAAAAAACAATTGATTTAGCATACTTGCGATGTTAACTGATATGTCTATGTCTTCGTTTAGCTAAAAGGTACAACTAACATCAATGATAAGTTTTTCATGAGCAATATTATCACAAATTCAGATCGCCTTGGTGTATCAAACTATCAATGATGCATTAGATAATAATTAATTAAACATCAAATCACAGCAGATCATCTCTGTTTTCCAACAGCAGTAATATAGCCTAAACATGTGTTTCGATGAGAGGTGCAAACATGAAACGTGTATGTATAAACATAGAATTAGTAATAGCTATCGAGATTACTTACATTTGGTGGGATTATCAGGCTCCTTTGAGTATTTGACCTGCAAAATTAACAACGAAGGTCTTTCAGAACCTCATACGATTTTCCGACTAATAGATAGCATGAAATGCACAGAGAGAAAGGAGGTACCATGGCTGCTGCTACTGCTACTGCTCCTGCGGTGACGTGAACGGGTTTTCGGTTTGAGTGTTTCCGGCGCAGCTCGTGTACCCGCGTTTATATATATGGAACAAAAAGAAAACCTAGGGCGTAATAAAGTGAGCGGTAATGGGCTCTTTCCTGGGCCTCATTAAAGAGGAAATATTATGATCCATATCATATATCATATGTTCACAATTAGTTTTTGTTAAGGTTAGCAAGTGAAATGTTAAAAAAGAGAAATTATTGGTGTTCGGTTTGTAAAATATTTTTGAAAAAGTTAGATATTTTCAAAGGAATTGGAATTATATTCTTATGTTTGGTTTTGTAGACTTGTCAAATATTTAATAAAGTGATACAGAAAACTATTTATTAAACTCTAGTTAAAACTTATGTTTTATGGAATTTTGCACGTAATGTATATATAGCAAAAAAATTGTTTTACAAAACAACTATATATAATTACACTTGACAAAAACAATTAATAAATATTTTATTTTGGGACAAAGTAGATGGTCACTGTTGGTGCAATTTAAATAATTAAAAAATAAATTGATAACATGTGTATCCCTGATTGTGTGTACATGTGGGCGTGTGAGTGTGTGTATGTGTGATATGGTGTAGGTGTGGGGTAGGGTGCACTTAGAAGTGGGTGTGTGTTCGGGTAAAGTGAGAGTAAGTGTGGGTTGGTTGGTGGGTTTGGGTTTGGATAGGTGGTGAGTAGGGGTTTGGGTTAGGTAGGGTATGGTAGGAGTGGGTGTTGTCACGTAAACGTAGACGTATGAATGGTCTAGGTTTGGGTGGGTGTGTATGTGTGTATGGGATGTGTTATATAGGTGGTGGTGGGGGTATGGTGGCGGCAAGATTAGATGAGTATGTGGAAGTAAGATGATAATGATTTGTTTTTAGTTGATAACCATGAGGGTATTTTTGTTTTTTTTTAAATATAACGAATAGAATCTAAAATCATTGTTTTTAGCCAAAGAACGACAAATTAATTTAATTTAAGCAAAAAATTATTAAAAATTATAGATTTCTAATTCTTTTGATTATGTCAAACAAACACAATTTTTATTGTAATTTACATTAAAGTTTCCTCAAATCCATTCAAAATCCATGAAAACATTTCTTTTAAGTTTTTTACTTTTTTCGATTTTCATATATTATTTTTGTTCAATGTTCAATGTTGACTATAACTATTTTCTTAGTCATTTTTAGGTTATCTCATTGTTAGCTAAATACGACATGATGACTTAGGGTGAGCATTTAGATCTCTGGACCGAACTTCACAGGCTTGGTCTAAGGTCCATCAATTTCTACAAAACCATTCCGATCAAAATTTTAACAATGTTTTTAATATAAAATTCAAATTTTATATAATTGACGCGATCAAAATTTTTATTTAATAAGTAGTATTAAGTTTTACCGTTTGAACGTAAAGAGCATTTATAAACCTTTTAATAAAACTTCATTTTATAAAATAAGGTTTGAAGTTTGATAAGTCTCTAGAATCTGAATTTTAAACTAATATAATTTTAATCGTCGAAATTTACCGTTAGCTAGTTTTAAACGATAAAGCTTGTTAAATTTTTAAAACCATTTTACCATCTTATGTTAAATGACAAATTTCATTAAAACTAAACTCCTTGTGATGTTATTTATGTTTAAAATATTATGTTGCATGTGAAATCTATTTTAACAATTATAACATAATAGTGGAAGATCTTTATGCTCAAAAGTCATTATAGAATGATATTTGCTGATGACATATGATTCTATAAGGTAACATCTTATAACAAGTTACTACTAATTGATTATTTATTAGAGTAATTTAAATTATTAATAAATATCAACACTTGTATTTAATTCGAAAAAAAATTATTTTCTGAAAATAATATTTTACCAACTTATTGGAAATTATTTGTTTTAGTAAATAATAATAAAGAGAACAATAACTAATTACATTCAATCACATATTAAGATTTAAATGTTATGTACAATTTTTTGGGCACTTAGAGTAACCACTTAGTTGGAACTTGATTAACTAGTTACAAGATTAAGTGAAGATCGCACTACCCACACATTCCTCATATATTGTTGAATCTAATGAAGCTAGTGGAAGATGGAGTGTGGTGTTTGTTTTACTTAGATTTCATGCTTGTAAGAAGATTATACTCTTTCATATACTAGCATTGACTTTTATACACATTAGTATGTATATAAAGAGTGCTTTGGCAAGTTTATTTGGTTCGTCTTCTGCTTGCATTTTCTCTTTATATGGCTGCCATAATTTTGAGATTATGAAGCCCTTCTTCGTCTATTCTTCTTGCAATTTTGGTGTTAGAATTAAGAGCTTATATGTTTCGTCTCTTTAAGGTTTGTTTGTTATAAAACTTAAAGCTTAAGAACAACATATATACAAGTGAAGACTAGCATCTTTAGTGGTATTTCCTTGCTTGGTGGATACATGTTAGAGAGTTTATTCTTTGTATCTCCATGTCATTTTTATCATCTTCCTAATTGCCAAAAGTAACCAAAATCTTCAAATGTTGTAAACTATTTCCTTTTTATGGTTGTTTTAATCTTCATAATATTTGCAAAATGATCATTGGTAGGTGAATGGTTTTAGTTTATTCAAGTTTAAAATTGTTTTCGTTGCTAATCACATCATTTTTGACACTATAATTAAACTTTTTTTTTGAATAAAACCTAACAAATATCAACATAAATATAAATAACACAATCATGCAAAACGTATGTCCATAAACCAACCACAAACTAGTGACATTTCGTGAGTCGTCACAAAAATGTCAAGTTCATTCCTAAGTACATAAAAGGGCCATAAATCTTGTAATATATTCATGCTCCGACTCGCTTTAACACATTGTAGCAAGTTTATAAAATTAATTTGATAGCATTTGTGAAACTTTAATAAAATCAAGTTTATAAAATTTTGATCTTCAAAATAGTCACCATCTCAATTCTTGTTACATTTTTATAAAAATAAACTACTTTAAAAACTAATCTATTACTTACAAAAATAAACAAAATGAAAACTATGTATTTAATTATTGCATATCATATGAATAAATAAATATTGCAACCATTTTAACAAATCATCACAAACACATCACAAGAGGTTCATGACTAGTTTATATACATCACACATAAATATACTCAAAATTATATAAAGCTACACTTTGTTTTTCTAAGACAACTTTGGTGACAAAATGCATATAGAATATTGTCATGTAAAATAACAATTATAAACATTTTAAAGTTCTCATAGAAAACATGTATGAAATTTTCTTATAAAAAACCATGTATGTTTTCAAAAAAACAAAGATTATACCAAATAATCTAATAATCTAGCCAAACATGCAAAAATAGCTCTAATACAAGTTGTTGGGTTTTATTCAAAATCGTTTTCCCAAAAACACTAAAAAGGAAACGAAATCTTTAAAAATAAAATAAACTTAAAACTCTTTTTAACCCACCAATGATCATTTTGCAATCAAAGAAGTGAAAACTTTAGAAAAATCTAATCTCTTGTCCACTAATGCTCCAAAAGAAAAGTATGTTATTATTATTGTTTTTTTGTACGATAAAACCATTTTATTTGTTGATCATGTCTAAAATAATGTTTCGTAACCGGCAAACCTTTGAAAGTCGGTTACCTAACATTTTTGACATCAGAAAAACCTAAAATATTATCCTTTATTGTTAGAAAAAAAATCATTGTGTTATTTTTTATAAAATAAAACCATTTTATTTTCTAATTTTGTACAATAAAGCTCTTTCATGTTTTGATTTTGTACAATAAAAACATTTATTTACCCCTTTGTACCATATTTTTCTCTTGAGAAATAATTGATATATATCTCATTTATTGTTACAGTTGCCCAATGTCCAATAAAATAGGTTTTGGAGAAGGAAAACACAATTTGCTTCCTTGATTCTTAATTTTGTTATGCGTCATACTCATTTTATATCTTGTTTCCACTAGTGATGTAAAATTCTTACTAAGAATTGGACATTATTAGAATGCCCTATTTTTCGTTAGTAATTCAGGAAACAAAATTATTAATTAATAAGAATAATCATATAATTTGGAATAAATATTCTAAGGAATTATATTGGTGAAGAACAAGAACAAAAGACATTCGATAAATTTTAAGGGATTAAATAATAAACAAAGAAAATAAAGAAATAAAAAGAAATAATAATACTAATAATAATAATAATAATAATAATAATAACAACAACAATAACAATAATTACAAAAGTAATAATAATAATAATTGTTTTAAGGTAAGGGCTAAAAGTGGCAGGCTTTAAACCTTTAGTTGTCAAAAAAAAATGTTTTTGGAGTCAAAAGTGCCATTATGGCAAAGTTAAGGCTAAAAGTGTAAAATCCAAATTTTGAGTTGCTTTGTAACAGGAATCGGATATGGGCTTGTTCTTTTGGCCTAATCCATCTATTTGATTCATTCTTGGATCAAAAACCCAACTTTAGTTGTTGTTTTCCTTTATGTATGTGTGTGCGTGATCTAGGCGGTCGAAGGAAGAACAGGAAAAATAAGGAAGGGGGTTGTTGTGATCGGAAGAAGAGGGTGGACGAGAAGGAGGTTGTGGACAAGGAAGAAGGGTTGGGGAGGTGTTTTGTTGGTGAGGGACAGAGGGATCTGGAAAGCTTAGTGTGTCTACTTTCTACAAACTTTGAATCACTGTAACGCCCCAAGAGTCAAGGCCAAAAAAATTTAATTTTTAGATTAATAAAACCATCTTTCAAAACATGTTCATAAAACCATAATAGAATCAAAGTATAATCAAAACATCCAAATACATCAGAGTCAAATCAAAGGCGGAACAATGTGGTGTGTGCGATGCGATCACCCCAAGCTCTTCCCTTTGGATCCGGAAGTACCTGAAACATAAACCCAAAACCGTAAGAACAAAGCTTAGTGAGTTCCCCAAAATACCACATATCAAACATATAACGGGCCCTACTCGGAACAGATCTGTCAAAAATATGAGATGGGCCCCGCCTCATCACATTCATCAGGCCCCGCCCGGTA